GGCGCAGTTGCGCAGGGCTTTGCCTTTCAGAGGGCTTGGACGTGGCCCGCTGGGCACCCGGGCACCCAGAAGGCCCAGCCGGCATGCCCGCTCGCCCCATCGGGGAACGCTTCTGCCCGGCATGGGCGAGCGCCGCAGCAGGGCCGACTTCTCCCGGGAAGCCCTTCGCCGGGCGATGCCAGCCTCCGGGCGGAAAGGGACACCCTGAGCAGGGCCCGCTGCCCATAGAGGAGGGGACCAGCCCCCCCCCCCGCATCCAAAGTGCTTCTCTTCCACCCGGGTGTCCTTGCCGCCCCCACCATCCCTCTCTGTGCTCTTTCTGCCCAGAGAGCAGGACCAGCCTTACCCGAAAAAAGTTAACTCAAGTGGGGTTGTCCTCAGAGGAACCCTCTCCAGGCCGCCCCCCCCTCTAAAGATGAAGATACCCCGCAAAACAGCAACACCCCTTCCCAGGCTCCCTTAGGAAGTGGGAACCAAGATTTCATGCACATCCTGCTGTCCTTGCATTAAGAAAAGGAGGTTCTTTTGCTCCGGCCTCAGTGGGCCAAGATCGATGGCCCTCCTCTGGACAGCGGCAAAGAAACCCTCCTTGTGCTCATGGCCGGTGCCAAGGGAAGGGAAGGGGCCCGCTCATCAGTGGCCCAGCTCTCAGGGCTGACAAAGAGACCATCATCAGTCATCAGCGCATGGAGGAAGAGGAAGACTGTTTATTTAACAAGTTGACAAGCAGGTCCTGCTCCCCCCCCCCTTTATACATTGTGCTTGGACATGAGGAGGAGGAGGTGGGCCACAGTCCACCCTCCCTCCCCAGTTTCCTGCAGCCAGGAGAGGCAAGGCCCGGTCTGGGAATGCCAGCCTTACCTCTGAACATGAGACGTGGCACAACGGTGGGAGCCAAGCCATGCAGAATAGAGCAGCTGTCCCAAGGAGCCCCTGCCGGAGGAGGAGAAGGAGGAGGAGGGGGGGGTCCTCTGAGCACCGGTCTCTGGTTCAGCACCATCAGGGCAGGTGAAGGGCAGAGGCCCAACTCATTCACCCAAGAAGGTACCGCGGGCCAACTGCCGCCTTTGCCCGGGAGAGGGTTGCTCGCCGTGGTTCCAGGCGGCACCATGTTGTTCTCTGCCGCACTCTGTGACCTGTCTGGCGCTTGGCTGAGTGGTCTCTCTTCGAGCCCCTTTGGAAAGGGAGAGCTCCCTTGATTCTTTGGGTGGCAGCGGTTGCCCGCTCGTGTGGAACACTGCAGGGCACGCATTCTGTTATCAAGCGGAAGCCCAGGACAAGCCGAGGGCCGTAACGGGCAGCGGGGAGAGGGAACTGGGGTGGGGAGCTGGCAGGTGTAAACAGTCACAGTCAACAAGGGGGTGGGGTGGCTCCTTCCACCCCTGCTGACCGACCCCCAACCACCTGGAATGTTTGGAAGACGAGAGTCGCAGGCTGAGGCAGGTGTAGTGCTGGTGGTGTGAACGCCGGAAGACTTGCCCCACCCTGGAGAGATGCAGGAGGGGGCACAGGAAGTGGTTTGGCCCTTGGAGAGGGATCATTAGGGTCCCTCTGGGAGTCCAGGGAAGCTGCACCACCGGCTGGATCCCTTTAGCCAGGGCCAGCTGAATGAGGAGTGGCTTCATCGTAGAAAATGGGGCAAGCAGCAAAGGTGGGCAGCGAAGACGGGGTAGCTTAAGCGGTGGGGAGCATGTGTGTGTCTGTCTATGTGAAGCAGGGCCCAAGAAGGTGCAGAAGCCGCGCGGGTCACTCGGAAGGCAGACCCCGTCGGCGGGAGTCGGCCTCTGCCTTCCGCCCTGGCTCCTTGGGGCTCCCCGGTGCGTTGCATCAAGTCCACACCTCCACGGGGATCATGCCTTCCTTGCTGTTGAGCGGAGGCAGGAGGGACTCCTCGGCCAAGAAGTCCAGCGGGAACTGGACCAGGTGTCCCCGCACCTGGAGCAGGTGGTCCCGAGCAAGGCTGGGGCTGGCCGAGGCCAGGTTCTCCACGGCGACGTAATCCCGCAGGGCCCGGTGGGATGGCACAGCGTCGGTGGGGAGGCAGCGGAAGACCTGCCTCGAGAGGGAGGGGTGGGAAAAGAGGGGGAGCCCACGGTCAGGTGATGGTTGTGCCTTTCAAGGAGAGAAATGCCCTTTCCTGGGGGGCTCCTCCTGAAACCTGAGGGTGCTCACGCAAGGGCCTTGTGCCTAAAATAAAGCTCAGTGGCCCCAGGGGTGCTGAGGCGGTGCAAGCTGGGGGGGGAGGGAGACGGACTGACCTTCTTTGGTTTCAAGATAAGGAGAGGGGGTTAGAAAATGGTCCTTCCCTCCTGCTCCCCCCCTGAAAGAGGACCACAATAAGTAGTGTGCTGAAAGGCATAGAGATGCAATCCAAACTCTGGCCTCATTTCTCTTACACACACACACACACAAACACACACACTCCTTCCTTGACACGCCAGGTCAAGGAATCCTGCAACTCCAAAAGCTGTACTCCGGCAGCCAGCCACTGATCCTCCCGAGACACGTCCAGAAGCCTGCATGTTCGAAGGGGGGCTTTTGGGATTGCCCCTCTTCCACAATTAGGCCAGTGTTCCCAACTCTGCCCGCCTTCTGAGCCCCTTCTGTGAGTGGGTTTTCGGGGAGGGTCAAGGGGAGCCTGACTCTCCCAGTCCCTACCGGTTGCCACCCACCTGCTCGTAGAGGTGGGCATTGGAGGATGCTCGGGCTTGCCAGACCTCGTGGAAGAAGTGGTCGCAGACGGGGTCTTGGATGTGGGCGTCGGAGTCAGAGGCGGCCCCCAAAATGCACCTGCCAGAGAGGAGAAGGAAGGGTGTTTTTCCCCCCTGGAGTGCCTGGCAGCCCTGGCCTGGAGGAAACACTGGCCCCATCTGGGCTTCATCCTGCCTGGTGCTGTGCACCCTGGCCCTTTAGGAGCCAAAGTGGCTCAGAGCAAAGGCCCTCGTCAGGGCAAGTGCTCCCCCCCCTCGCAAGAGAGGGCCCTTCTGCAGCCCCCCCAACCCCCATGGAGGGAGAGAGGGAGAGCAGCTTCTAGGACTGCACTGGCATGATGGCTGTCTCCACAAGCCCAGCAGTCGCACGCAGCCCCCCCCCCCGGTATCTCACCCCATCCCCTTTCCAAAGCCGTCCCAGTTCATGGCTGCGCTGGGTGTCTCCCTCCCTGGCCAAGGCCAGCCTGCCGACCAGACAAAGTCAGACTTCTTTTCCCCCCAATCTTGAATCTCCCTCCGCTCAGGCCCCAGGCCCACCGGGTCTCCCCTGCAGGCTTGTCCCCAACATCCACGGTCTCTCCTGGCTTCAGCCGGGCCGTGCTTAGCCCCTCGGGTGGGAGACCCCTCGGGAGCACCAGCGGTCCCTGCCTGTCCATCAGAGCTGGCAATGCTGGGGGCCTGGGTTCTGCTCCCGAGCACCTGTCTCCCCAAGTGGGGGTGGCAAAGCCCCCCCCCCTAGGCCCAGTCTTCCCTTCCTGGAAGCCTTAACCAAGGAGGGGTGGAGGGTGGGCTCCTTGCCACATCTGGGAAGGAGCCATGAGGTGGGAATCACACGCCCCTCCCTGGCTGCTTTTGTGGCTCGGCTCCTTGCCACATGTGGGAAGGAGCCATGAGGTAGGAATCGCACGCCCCTCCCTGGCTGCTTTTGTGGCTCCCCATGGTTTCTAAAGGAGTGTGCGTGTGCGTGTGCATGGGGGGTGGTCATTTAACTGTTTCAAGAGGAGAACCAGGCCTCTAGGAGGTAGGGATTCTCTCTGGAGGGAAAAGGCTTTCAGTCCTGCATCCCCACTTCACTACCCCCTGCCCCGCTTTACAGCTCAAAATCTGATTAAAAGTGATCCCTTCTAATTTCACTTCGGGGGGGCGGCGGCGGCGGTGTAGCCTCACTAAGGTCCAGCCCCACCCCCAGCATCCCCACTCCTAGCCTGGAAGATGATCTGTAAAAGTTGCAGGAAAGCACATTTGAG